AAGAAGCAGCTTACGTAAAAAGACTATTTTCCCTCATGAATAAAAAATTAAAAAAGTTTAAGTTTTTCCGGTCAATTTCTACCAGTGATTTGGCCGGAAGGACCAAATTTGCTAAAAAAAATATAGTTTAAAGATTAAATTGTTAGTTTTAAAAGTCATAGAGCGAAATTAACACGCCCCCTATAATCATAGGACCAAAAGTGTAATTTACTCATTTATTAAATTAATAATAGTCCGTGCATCGCACGGAACACTTACTAGTTTAATATTATAAAAATTAAATTACATATAATTTGTGTCAAGTTTCGTTAATAAACCAGCTACATAAAATGGATGGAATCTATATTTATTCATAAATAATATCGGGGTCTGAAAAATAAAATGCTAAGTGAGGTGAGCTTGGACGACACACATTAAAAACTTTCAAAATGCCTTTTTTTTTTTTTTTTTTTTATGGAACATGACTCTCGTATGTAAAGATCATAAATTTGATTCTTAAGGTCTTCCTAACACACTTTACTCTATGCATATACACTTTTAAATAGTAATTGTGATTTTTTCTCATCGTTAAAATACCTGAATCGTGACGAATCTAACATCTTGGTCGAGTCAAATATTATATGCTCAAGATTTGAAACATGCATGCATGAACTTATGTTTCCGCACGCAGAGATCGATGAAGATGCTGCAATTGCGATACATGCGGCAATTACGTATCTCCGGCGAGATTCCTGGTACTATACGAGTCTATCATCATCAACAAGGCATGCACACCAACTTTACATGTTTGATTCGCATGCCAACAAGATAATTGTAACAAAACTACATGCTAGAATTGAATCTGATTCATAACCAAATTCTTGGTCAACCCAAAATTAGAGAAAATGGTTCGATAATCATGGTTGTTGTGTTTACACTATCTAAAGAGCAATAGTTATGCTGTGGAACCGTGTTCACCATGTGCATCGTGAACATGGGGTAGATTCATAATTTCTAAGTTGTAGATTCATAATTTATATACTGTACATTCATAACATCTATACTGTAGATTCATAACATCTATACTGTAGATTTATAATTTCTATCCTGTAGATTCATAATTTCTATACTATAAATTCATAATTTCTGTACTGTAGATTCATAATATTTGTACTGCGAAGACGAAATAATACGATTGCGAAGAGAGAAACGTCGTTAACAACAAATGAAAAACAAAATTATGAATCTATAACATAGAAATTATGGATCTACCTTTGTGTTCACCATGCGCATGGTGAACACGTTTCCACAGCATAATTTGCGATCTAAAGAAAGGGTAGAAAGAATGCGTATCACTAATCTTTTCACAAAATGTTGCATTCCCAATCCCATGGCCCCCCACACCCATTTGGGAGGATGCATGTGAAATGGTAAGATGATTGTGGGGTTTTGAGAGCTAATTATATTGGATCTCAAGTTTTCTATGCCATGTGTACCTTCAAGGTGTATTAGATCGTCACATGTCTTAATTTTATTATAAAAAAAAATACTATATAAAAAAAACCAAAAAAAAAAAAAAATTGGCTTGTCCAACAAATATAGTAAATATGATAGGCAAAATAGGACAGAAAAAATATTAATTTTGTCTATAATCTATTACTTGAATATCAATTGAACTGTTGATGCTGATATATTTTTTCTTGTCATGATACTGATAGACAATTCCGTTGAATAAATAATCGCATGCACGCAGTTATAGTAAAAAAAAAAAAAACGTGATTAGGAGATTAGGATATATCAACCACAAATGATTAATTTCATTTGCACTTAATTAGTCAATGTGAATTAGTCTATTTCCATCTCTAGATTTCACACTTTAAGCGCATATGAAAAATATAAGTTTGATCAAATTGAGATAGATTCCACAATTTAAGCGCATATGAATATGAAAAATATAAGTTCCATCAAATTCAAATTTAATTAAGCTGAGCTAAAGTTAACTCGTTAAGTAATCAAGCCAAGCTCGAACTTAAAAAGTGTTGGCTTGTGACTTTTGAGTCGCTTACGAGCCATAGCATGTTGAACTTGAGCCTAAAATTTTAACTACTTAAGTTCGAGCTTAGTACAGCTCATTTATGCAAGTGAATGAACTGTACTTTATTAATGTAAATTACCACCTATATATAGTACACAGAGGAGAGTAAATAGCAGGGAGTAACAACTACTATTCAAACATAACTATTCTGTAGGAACATAAATAGAACAAATAATAACTGAATATAACACTAGCCGCATATAGGTTTAACACGCCCTTGCAAGATTGAGATCCGTCGGAGACTCCAATCTTGGACCAAAAATGAAGGAATAGGTGACGTTCAAGCGGCTTGATGAGAAGATCAGCTAGCTGAGCGGAGGACGGAACATGTTGAACAACTAGCACACCACTAGTAACCAAATCACGCACAAAGAAGTAGTACAAAGCCAAGTGTTTCATACGTGAGTGAAACACTGGATATTTACAAACGTAGGTGGCGCTGAGGTTATAACAAAATAGAACAGGAGGCTATACTAGACTCAACTTGAGCTCCTTGAGGAGATTCTTAACCCAGAGGACCTCCGTTGCAGCATTAGCCAAGGCCTGGTACTCAACTTCTGTTGACGAACGAGAAACCGACTTTTGCCGCGAGGATTTCCAGGAAATAAGGTTGTTGCCTAGATACACCAAGTACGTCGTAGTCGAGCGTCCAATAATGTTGCATCCGCCCCAATCGGAGTCGGTATAGACACGCAGCAACAAAGGTTGACCAACGCGAAAGAATAGGCCGTGACAAACAGTCCCTTTGAGATAACGAAGTAGTCATTTATTAGCTTGCTAGTGTAGCTCCGAAGGCGCATGCATGAACTAAGATAGTCGATTGACTGCAAATGCCACATCTAGCCGGGTGATTACAAGGTACTGCATAAGACCTACCAAGCTACGAAACTGCGTAGCATCCACGGCAAAGTCAGGTGACTGCAGTGGCACTAATTTTTCTGAAACCGCCAGTGGTGTTGAAACATCCTTTGCACCATTCATTTTGAACTGTGTGAGTATATCAGTGATATATTGGCTTTGTGACAAGAACATACCATCAACAGTAGAGATGACCTCTACACCCAAGAAATGATGGAGTGTACGGAGATCCTTCAGAGCAAACTGGGCTGACAGAGTCTTCACAAAACGATCAAGCCAGGTGACATTATTGCTGTCAACAAAATATCATCCACGTAGACTAGGAAATAAACAATCACACCATGAGATGAATAAATGAACAGTGAAGCATCTGCTTGGGACTTAGTGAACCCACAACGAAGCAAAAAAAAGAAAAAAAAATAAAAAGAAAAAAAGTGAGAGCTCCTGATACCAGGCTCTTGGAGCGTGTTTAAGGCCATACAAAGCTTTAGTTAACCTGCAAACACGAGTAGGGTATAGTGGATCAACATATCCGGGCGGCTGCTCCATATAAACTTCCTCATGCAGCGTGCCATGCAGGAAAACATTATTGGTATCCAACTGGAGAAAACCCCAGCGGTTACTTAACACAATGGTTAGGACAACCGGATATTGACTGGTTTCATAACTGGGCTGTATGTTTCAAAATAATCCCGGCCAACTGTCTGTAAGAACCCTTTGGCCACAAGGCGTACCTTGTATCGATCAACTGAACCATTTGATTTGCGCTTGACCCGGTAGACCCATTTATAGCCAATTGAAACCCCATCGCCACGCGAGACTAGTGACCACGTATTATTGTGGTGCAAAGCTTCGAACTCCTCGTCCATGGCTTTCCTCCACCTAGCATCTTTGAGGGCCTGAGTGATAGTAGAGGGCTCTAAAGTCGGAGGCAAGGAGTGGGCTGTGGTTAGGTTGACAACATAATCAGAGTACCTGGGGTTAGGGCGACGAGAACTAGTAAACCGACGCAACATAGTTTGCGGTTGAATGGATTCAGAGGAGGACAACGGTTGTGAAACTTCAGAGGTTGCGAGTGGTTGGGAAGATGAGGGTTCATCGTGCGGATGGACGTTGGTAGTGACAGGAGGTGACGAACAACTCGCAGCAGGAGACGGGGACTTTGACGAAACAGGCGATGAGTGGTGACCGGCTGTCGCACTGTGTCCGCCGGACTGCCCAGACGTCGAGGCGGACTGTGGCGTCGGAAGTCTCGGCAAAACTGACGCAGTTGGCGGCGGAACTGACGCGGCTGGCAAGGATGACGTTGGCTCAACAGAGGATTCTAGTGTTTTGAAGAGAATATGTAGCAGGGTAGGAGATTGAACCCCAGTAGTCATATCTGACTTAACCTGTAACTCCTTGGCAGGAAACACATGAGGAACAAAGCGTTCATGTCTTGATAAATATACCCGATTCGCTTCAAAATCGAGGCATTTATAAGCTGATTGTGTGTTTGAATACCCCAAAAAAAAAATACATGACCGTGACTTTGGTTCTAGCTTTTTTGTATAATAGGGACGTAACCAGGGGAAACACAGACAGCCAAAAGGTTGTAGCTTATCATAGTTTGATAACTATCTAAACAAAATGTGATAAGTGGATTTATTACCTAAAACTGGTGTTGGGAGCCGATTAATGAGATAGGCGACTGTTTGAAAAGCATGAGGCCAGTATGAAGACGACATAGAGGCAATATGAAGAAGGGACATACCAGTTTCGACCACATGCCTGTGTCGCCGTTCAGCCATGCCATTGTGCTCAGGAGTATGAAGGGGAGTAGTGAAATGTGAAATACCATGAGCGTTAAGCATTGATATTAATTTAACGAACTCCCGTCCATTATTCGAATAAATTGAGACAATAGACAAGTCAAAGAACTTCTCTATTAACCTTTTGAACTGAGGAAACACTTCAAATACATAATTGAGACAATAGACAAGTCAAAGAACTTCTCTATTAACCTTTTGAACTGAGGAAACACTTCAAATACATCGGACTTGCGTTTTAAAGGATATAGCCAGACATATCAAGAAAAATGATCAACAAAAACAACATTGCCATTTTGCTGTCGTGTTTGCCTGTTAGTGTTGCTGTTGCTGCGAAATCTCCTGTTGGTTGTGGGCTGATGAGAATTCGGTGAAGCCCAGAAACTGCGTTCAGTGGCATTGGCAGTAGCCAACAGGGACTGGCGAACCTCCTCAGGTTCTTTCAAGTGACGTTTATGATCAGTGGTGAGAACATTGGCTAATTCGCCCAAAGAGATTGGCGTGTCATGGACATGAACAACGGAGACAATGGGTCTGTACTCGTCTCCAAGCTGTGTTAAAACATAAACCACCATGTCATCATCCGAAACTGGGGACTGAGCCAAGGCGAGATCGTCGGGTGTGGACCGCATATTAGTCAAGAAAGCGGTAACCAATCGATCACCTTTCGGGTTTTTGGTGAGCTTGGCCTTGAGGGAAATGATCTGTCCTCGAGAGGCACTAGCATAGCTAGCAACGAGCCGTTGCCAGGCATCACTCGCTGTGGGTGCGGAAGAGATTAAGGGTTGAATTGTGTCAGAACAACTCCCTAGTAATGCATTGGTAATGATTTGGTCTTGACGATACCAAGTCAAGTGTGCAGGATTCGAGGTGGTTTGTTCAGCACCACTAAACTTGGTTGGTTCTTTAATAGAATCGTCAATGTAGCTAAGAAGATTGAAGCCAATTAATGTCGACTGGACTTGGAGTTTCCAAACAGGAAAATTAGTGGGGGTGAGTTTGATAGGGAAGTTGGACGGAGCATTTAGTTGGATAACATCATTTGTGGTTATAGTAAATTGGGAAGCCATATTGGTCACAAAGGTGGCGAATATGAAATGAAAAAAAAAAAAATCACTTTAGGAGTGTGTGGCTCTTGATACCATATAAGTGAATAAACTATACTTTATTGATTTAAACTACCAACTATATATAGTACACGAAAGAGAGTTACAACAATTATTCAAATATAATTATTCTACAAGAACATAAATAGAACAAATAATAACTGAATATAACACTAGCCACATATAGGCTTAAGAATTTGCACCCCTAGTAATGAATTGAATGAGGTTTGTATGTACTTGATATGTCAAAGACATTTGTTCTTTCTTGATAGTGTATTGTATTAATGTGTCGTGGTCACACTTTTTTATAATTTAGTTTTTATTTAGTGTTCACTCATTCTAGACCAACCACACTCCTTAATATTCCTAAAAAGGGCCATTTTACGTGGTCTTTTATAGCAGGTTATTGTTATTTTTGCCAGACCATGATGTACCTTGAGCAAGTCATAACTGTAGGAGGTACCTTTAAGCTGTATTATAATTAGACTAATCCCCATCGTACTAGGCTGGCCCAATTAAGGAGCAAAGTGCTTACCAGATTGATTTTTTTATACAAGCAATCATTATTGCATGGACCATAAATAAAAAAAAATATTTTTAATATACTAAGGATACATTATTTATGTACGTAAGGTACATTTTTTAAAGTACATTTTAATATACTAAGAGTACATTATTTTATATAATGTACCTTCAGTACAAAAATAATGTACTTTTAATATATTAAAAATGTACATGATATTCATGGTCCATATAATTGTGTGGACCATGGTCCATGCAATAATTTGCTTTATACGAGAGGATGTTCAAATTCCTGATCTCTCTTAAGGACGAGAGTACACGGTCACTCACGCCAACCACTTTCGTACGTACCATTCATTGCCAGCTATCCAAGTCTTTGAAGAAAGCATTTGTTAGACTTCGAATGCTAATATGAAACTTTTTTTTTTTTCAAAATCAAGTTTAATTAAACTTTTCCAAATTATTTTGAGGATTTATCAGACTTTTTTCTTTTTCATGTCTAACTAACAAGAAGGGCCCCAAGGATGATAGGTTTATACCTCCCAAACACAAGTAAAATTACTTAATTGCCCCTACAAAATAAGATAAAGACTAGGATTATTGTGACAATTACCTTCCTGCAGGCAGCCATGGCAATACCTTTCATTACCCCTACATCAACATGTATATGTTACAAAGGTTTTTTTAACTGTTTATTCATAGATTTGGAGCCGACAGTCACGCTATACCTCAAACAACCAGTTTTAATGCTGCCATGTTGTTGTTACTTTCAATCGAGCGAAAATACTTGCAGAGATGTCGGCTACACCCAACTGTTTTGAATATGTTTCGTGCATCATTCAATGTTGAATTTCACACCGTTGATTTAGTAAGTACAAGATTTCAAATTTAATTTTTCGTAAAAGCTATCATTTGGACTTCTCAATTTTAGCCACTTAGGTATAGGCCTTCTAAACGAGTTTATGTGTAAACCTATGTTCGCTAGATTTACCAATCTTTATACCATGGATTAAAGTTCATAGTGCACTGTAGACCCTAGTACATGTGTCTTGTATTATAAAATTGTGTCTTAATAGTATAAATTCTGTACCTGAAGCAAATTAGTAATTGGATGTCTTATGTTATGAATTTGTGTCTTGTGTTGTGAAATTATGTGCTTATAAACACAAATTATGTACCTAAATCAGATTTAGAAAATAAGTAAATATATAACATGTGTATGTGTCTTGTGTTATGAAATTCTGTACCTTACGAATATGAATTTTGTACATGGTCATTTCAATCCAGGGTCCATAATGCTATGTGGACCCTAGTCCATGACATAAATTGCCTAGAGTCACAATACAGACTTTGCTTAGAGCGCACATTCGAATTGTTGCTACAGATTTTCTTGTAAATTAGAGAATATGATTATATGAACAAATTCAAAGTATCTCTTTTCCCACTTTCTACTAGTAGTATTATACCAACTTATATGCGCGAGGCTCCATGTGACAAAAAAGGTCAAATAACATCTCTTTTCTCACTTCTTAATAGTAGTGTGGCCAGTTTAGAAAGCCAAAGGCTCCATGTGACATAAGGGCCCTCTTTGGTAAAAAATTGGGGCAAATTATGCCCTGGACCCGTGTCCACAGTGAATTGTGGACACGGGCCCAAAACGACGTCGTTTTTAAAAAAAACGCGTCATTTAGTTAAAAAAAAAAAATTTGCGCACGTTTTGTCGTTAACGGCGTTAACGACGTTATTTTTTTTTTTTGGATTATGAATGTACAGTTATGCCGTTATGAATATACAGTTATGCCATTATGAATGTACAGTTATGCAATTATGAAATCATGAACACAGAGCTCTAACATTATGAACTTACAATTATGAACATATATAGTGATAAAATTATGACCATGGAGCTTTAAAATTGTGAATATAGAGCTTCGAAGATTATGAATGTACAATTATGGAGTTATGAATCTACAGTTATGGAGTTATGAATCTACAGTTATGAGATTATGAATCTACAGTTATGGAATTATGAATGTATAGTTATTGATCGAATTATGAACAAAGAACTCTAACATTATGAACTTTTACAATTATGAACATATAGTGATAAAATTATGAACATAGAGCTCTAAAATTGTGAACATAGAGCTTCGAAAATTATGAATGTACAATTATAGAGTTATGAATGTACAGTTATGGAGTTATGAATGTACAGTTATGGAGTTATGAATGTACAGTTATAGAGTTATGAACGTACAGTTATGGAGTTATGAATGTACAGTTATTAATAATATAGTAATAAAATTATGAATATATACTCCTATAACAAAGCGGTCTGAAATTTAAAAAAAAAAAAAAAAAAAAAGGGAGATAACAGTGCCGTTGGCACTGTTACCCGTGTCCAGCAAGCATGCTGGACACGGGTCCAACGCATAACGATTGAAAAATTGGCCTATAGGCCAATTTTGGCTTTTTGACAACTATTAATTGTTTGATTTAGTTAAAATATCAATATAAATTTTTGGTTAATTAACTTTTTGCAACTTCAAAAGGCTAAAATTCAAAAGGCTACTCCAAGCAACTTTTTCAATTAGCTTTTTGAGAAAAGAAATTATACCAAATATCTATTTGTTATCAGCTAATTTACCAAACACTTTTCTACAATCAGCTAATGTTATCAACTATTTATACCCTCTAATTAACACAATCAGCTAACAACTAACAGCTAACAGCCATTTTACCAAACAGGGCCAAGGTCAAAATTATCTCTCTTTTCCCACTTCTTACTAGTAGTGTTGCCAACGTAGTACGCCCGAGGCTCCATGTGATATAAGGTCAAATAAAATCTCTTTTCCCACTTCTTACTAGTAGTGTTGCCATTTGCCAACGTAGTATGCCCGAGGCTCCATGTGACATAAGGTCAAATAACATCTCTTTCCCACTTCTTATTAATAGTGTTGCCAACGTAGTATACCCGAGGCTCCATGTGACATAAGGTCAAATAACATCTCTTATCCCACTTCTTACTAATAGTGTTGCTAACATAGTATACCCGAGGCTCCCTGTGACATAAGGTCAAATAACATATATTTTTTCCCACTTCTTACTAGTAGTCTTGCCAACATAGTAAGCTCGAGGCTCCATGTGACATAAGGCCTAATAACATCTCTTTTCCCACGTCTTACTAATAGTGTTGCCAATGTAATGAACCCGATGCTCCACATGCCACAAGGTCAAGAGGTCAATCCCCGTTAAGAGAAACGATAAACCGGGAAATGGGAAATGGAAGCAGCATGAAACCCTAATCAAGAATCAAGAAATGGTAAACCCTCATGATGATTATGCAAGTCTGCTTGACTAAATCCCATTGCCATTTACCATGGAAGGTATGGGTATGAATCCTTCACCATACAATTTCCATGAAATTCATCACATGTAATGGCCTCTTTCTTCTCCGACAAGATCTTGCAGTTATTACTGTGATAAAAGAAACCAACAACCAACCAATGTAGCCAAAACCCATCCCAGAAGCCATTGTCAAAGGTACAATGGACCATCATGCCTGTGTAACAGACAGGGAATCAAACATATACCAGAATGACATTTACTTTCTAGGTTAAGGACTAAAGGAGCCTCTGATTGATATGTTTTTTTTCTAACAAAAATGTATGAGCAGAGAGTAGACCATGTGGGGTGTCCCCTAGGCTCTCTAATGCTGTGGAGTTTTCCTGGGGGGCTGCATTTTCTGCATTCTCTGATGGTAAAAAGTACAGATGTTCTTGGACTTGCAAGCATGGATGGGACTAGGGTTTGATTTTCAAAGAAGATGACAAAAGTTCCTCATAAGTAATGTTCCTCATACCTACTATTTTGTTTGGCTTTTTTTTTTTTTTTTTTTTTTTGATAGATTAGGTCTCCAACTTACGTTGGACTAATCCTAAGCCCCATAATCCCTGTCCAAGAGTCGCTGGAAGAGGTAAATCGTGAGTCGCCCAAGCAACCTCCCAGACAGTCCTTATTATTGACTCTGCGCACAAGGGATCCATATCCACACTTCCGCCAACTTGTGGAGCCCAATGGCCCAAACTCTAGCCTGGAGAGCCCTAACTCCAAGATGTTGGTGGGAGTCGAATCTCCACCATGCCGTTGGAGTGGTGATTTTAGGTCAAGGTGGTTTACCACTTGTTATGTAACAATGACCTAATCCTATGTTCAAGTCCCCAAGAGGCCGAGAGGTGGGGACATAGCTTAACTGGTTGACCAATTCAAAAAGAGTTCAAACCTCTGAATCGCTAATAACAACCGCAAGATCGACTCTGGGAAGCCTGTTAAGACACATCTTGCAATTTATAGTTGGCGTTCACCAGTTCCAATTCCAACCAAGTTTTCTGCCCACCCCAAGTTAGATAACATGAGAAATACTAAACTGAGAGCCTCATACCAGAGTGCAATTTGCAATCTAGACATTAATGCTCTAAGGATTACATGAGTCATTGTTCCAAGAAGGAAATCTTGCTTAGGATAGAAAATTCTGCCCTTGAATGTCAAGAAAACTAGGATAGCGGGATCTATATGCACCCAAACTAGATCTCAAATAGCAGTGTGGAGATCGCCTCTAGCTAGAATAGCATGTTTTTTCTTTTCCAATGTTCAAACAAAACCTAATCGATCATAGCCTTCTGGTGGCTTCCTTGTCCAGTCAAATCAAACACGGAATTTCTTTCGTCTATCCATGATTATGTAAACAACGTTAAGGACGAGGAGGAGGATGAGGCATTATGATGCAAGAAATCTACGAGTCTTGTCAATTTCCAATAGCCTACTGGACACTATTTTCCAATCCAAGTTTGGCTCCATCGCTAAAAGCTTAAGACTATCAATGCAATGGCACATGCATACTTAAAAACATTAAAGCACAAAGGCTGCATAATTCAAAACTTACATATACCAGACAGCTACAAGTCACTGGAAGACGGGCCCTCCGTGTTGACTTTGGTTGAGCAAAGCTCTGAGGCTTGGAACGGGGTTCTCACAGACAGATACTAACAGTACATAGCAAGTTGTTTCAGCACAGTTGCAGCTGCTTTTAAGACGATGGAATTCTCATTTAAACGGGAAACAATAATGCAGAGTGCTATGTCACAGAAGAATATATTCCCCGCCTACTATCTTCCTAGGCTAGACAAAAAGATGTGCTTACATGATTTTGCATGTGACAAAGATTCCTTCTTCAATCATCTATATGTTCAAGTAAAAAGTCATCCTAAATCCTAATCATTTAGTTGAGAGATCAAAGAAAAGAGTTCCAAATCGTCGAGACATTTCTAGCTGCTATTAATTTCACCTTGTTCCCTTTCCTCCTGTCTAGAATTTCTTTCTAACTTAAAGCAGTAAAGATGCATGCAAAAGTTTAGCAATTGCCTTTTTCCCGTTATGGTAACTTAACTCCTTTTTCTCCATGAGGGTTCTCGAGTTCAATCCATGTTGTCCTAAAAAACATCACTTTTTATTTTTTCGTCCTCTATTGCTGCTAAGAAAATCTAATGAAGTTCAGACAGAGTGCTCAATCAGGTGTATTAATTGAAATTGTTCGGTAGTGTACAACAAAGAAACGAGAAAGAAAACAGACATTAAGGTGTACATTCCACATCACCACATGTGGCATGGTAGATGCTACCCATTCCCCTGGAAGAACTGCATGAAAATTATTCCAGATTATGAACCAGATTCAATGGATTCAATCATGACCGTTGATTGACTAGTCTCTCTCCCAGGTGTAATTAAATCAAGCCGGCAAGACATACCTTCTTCGTAACACTAGCGTATTTGGCTTCATGCTGTATGGAGCAAACTGAACCTCTGCATGTTGGAAAAGGGAAAATAAAAAATAAACGAAAAATTAGACTGGATATCATCAGTATTTGCAACATATGATTTGGTTACTAAATACTAAAAGAAATTTTCCATTAAAAAAAATGGCAGCCTATGATGACATGATGAACTAGAAAAGCGTGCTGGCCATTAAAAAAAGAGTTTAATACATCGCTTTAGGTTGGGGGGGGGTATCTATGATTAAGTACAGAAAGAGCAGAAAAGCGTAAAACTCTTAGTTACAAAAACATGTAGTATCATCAAACACAATCTCAAAATCTATACTAGTCTTGGAGAACGGTTAGGCTTAGGAGTTCATTCATAATCTATGATTGAGTAGACAATGGGATGCTCGATAAAAAACATTATAGCCCATTGGGATCATTTTTAGCGTGTTACACTGAACCTTGCAACTAAATTTGAGGCAGAGAATTTATTAAATCTTGCAAAAGAATGAAGCCGGTGTTTCAATGCCTGACCTCTTCATCCGCTATGTTAAGGAAAGCATTTCATTCTCTGCAAAAGGGAAATGGGATTGCTCGTTTAATAAAAACAACACCGAATTTTCTCAAATTAGTAGAATATACAATACAATATAATTACCTGTCTTTCAATTTCAACAGCAGATGCAGCAAGTCTTCTTTTCAACAAGGACCTCTCTTGCTCGCAAGATTCCATCTCCGTATCTAAAGCAGAAAACAGAAAACAGAAAACATGTTTACTAGCACATTTTTCCATTTTGAAAACAGGAAACAATTTTCTAGAAAACTATTAAAAACTGTTTTCTAAATGGAAAACAGAATCATTTATCATCTATTTGGCTATATGTCACTATAACCACATTCTCACCATTATCTACTTACATATTTATTCATTACTATGATTACATTCATTATCATCTTCTTTTACTTATCACCATCTTCTATCTTTTCTACTTGCATTACTTATTTAAACATAACTTATTTGCTTATGCTTAAAGTTAGACATTATTTACATTATCAAAATTAAAAACTAGACTCTATACCAAGTTTTATATTTTGATTGAACTCAATTGATTATTAGTTTGGATATTTTAAGTTATGTTATATCGTAATACAAGTTTGGTCCAGATATCGGATATTGAAATTTCACATACATTACTATATTAGAATTCAAAGTAAAAATTATATATTTATATACATGTCATTCAGAACACTGTTCTCTGTTTTCTGTTTTCTGTTTTCTGTTTTCTAACGAAATTTATTTTTCTATCAATGAATTGGAACCAACACAAATATTTTGGACAGTCTTACCATAGTAGTATGTTGACAGGATTGTGATGCGCTCCGTTGGCTACAACAAAGAATTTCACAGAAAGTCGAGGATAATCAAACGTCTTTTGTAAACAACTACCAATCTAAACGGATAAATAGAAATTAAAGATATTAAAAATCGGGCACAGAAGTAGTCTTTACTCTTTAGAGAAATAGTTCATCCTCCAGATTCCAGAATTACACATTAGTAAGGAATTACGGATGGTCATCCTCTTTCAAGCAAGACAATAACGTTATGTATCCCCGAAATGGGGAAAAGGGAAAGTGAAAAGAAAATAACACTATGGAATCATACCATTACAAAGATCCCTTCACGTCGAGTAGGTAGCTGCTCAAGCTTTCTCAATGTTTCATCCCCTTTAGTAACTTTTCCAAATACTGCATACTAATTAGTGCCAAGAAGTAACTATTGTGAGTTATTTGAATCTTCTGACCAACAAAAAAAAAAAAAAAAACGATATCATGTTTAATTTAACCATCTTACTTGGCCATCGAGGTGAGGTGCATCTCCAAGAAGCATTGAGAATGATGATGAAGCACTATCGGGATCAGAATGTCTAAGCAAAATGGTCGAAAAGGTATAGTTCAGGTAAAATAAAACGGTTAAACTCAAAATTTTAAGCTAAATTTTATGCATGGGAACACTTCTAGCATACGGAGTATAAAAGAGGCTGGACAACATAAAGAACACGATCAACAGAGAAAATGCAACCAAAAATCTCTTTACCTTCCCATAGAAAGAATTCCTCTTACATGTTTGACGTCACTGAATTCTCCCTTAACAGTCTTTTCAGCTTCGACCCGCTGTTCTTCATTCATAGGCGCCGTTCTTCCTCCAGCAACATCCGCCACCTGAGCAACAAACCCCTTATCTACCTGTAGACAGTTTGGAAGCGGCAATCAACCAACTTTTTTAGTCGCAATAGCTATTCTATTCGAGAATCCAGACGTTTTGTAGTTCTTGGCAAAGACTAAGTACCCGGAAGAAGTGATTAGTATTGTAGCCTCCCAGGCGCACAAGTTTGAAGATGTGCTCAACTGTTCTCGGTGCGACGCTAGGATAAAAACCAAATTCAATATCCCCATAGTTTGTCTGCATTCAACTCAAACACTTCTTTATTCAACACCCAAAATTTTCACCATTAGCAACATCCATTCTTCAGTCACAATGCATTACAATACACATTCAATTAAAGTCACATAATTCATCAAAACCAAAATTGTAGCAATCACCAAAAACTGAGAAAATACCAATTTTGATCCCACAACTATTAGCGTAGTGACAATTTTGGTCCACAAGTTTAATGGCTGACAAATGTCATCTGATGACTATCATTTTAATGCCATTTTTTATCACTCCGGTCACCGGTGCGACTCAAACAGTCCGGAATCTCAAACTTTTTAAGGTTATTTTCATCCATCCAAGTATGCTAGGCCCTTTGGTTATCTCATCAGTAGACCTTTTCCTAAGTTTCTTTGGTATAACCTTAAAATTTTGAGATTCCAGCATGTTTGAGTCGGAAAGGTGACCGAAGTGATCAAAATTGACATTAAAATGATAATCATCGGATGACATTTGTTAGTCATTAAACATATGGACCAAAACTGTCACTAAGCAATAGTGGACCAAAATTGGTATTTACTCACCAAAAATTTCATATTTTTCGCTTAAAGCTTCATTTCTAAGACCATAAAACACAGAATTCCATATCATAACACACTCAAAATTCCAATTTTCATATCAGAAAACACTCAAAATTCCAATTAACTTCCAAGTTCTACATCTAAAATTCAAGAAAGCTTCAATCTTTTCACTTATTTAACTAATTTCTCATCATCTGGAGCTATGAAAACCAAAAAAGAAGCATCCAATCACAATAATCCATTAAGAACACAACAAAGAAGAGAGAAACTGAGAAATTGGAACCTGAAACACAACACGGGTCGAACTCATTTCGGGTTCTGACCCATGGGCGGCATTGAATTGATATGAGCAACAAAGGAAAAGTATGCAAGCAAGTGCAGCAATGGAGATGGATCCCATACCCGCTTTGACTTGGCGCCCCATTTTTTCTGTTGTCAGATCATAGATGCATTGTTACGTTAGTAGCGTCGAACTCGATAAATAATTTTACTCGGACCCCAAACGTTTTTGAGAGTAACATCTAAATCCCCTATTATTTCAAGAATTATACTTAACCCCACTCTAATTAGTAATCACTTTTAGAGGTGGTCACGATTCGATTTAAAACAAATCTCAGTTAACTTGAACTACCGGTTCATGAACCGTCTAGAATCATATAGTAATAGTTCACATTATAGTTATTGTCAACGATGAATCACCTATAAACTATGAATCGAATCACGACCACCTCGAGACTCACTTGTTCATCAATAACCCCATTCATACAAGCATCACCTTTTTAGTTTGTAGGTATAAATATACAAGGAACTTCTATAATATGATTGCAATTCGCAAACTAGTCGAGTCGAACTCAAAATAGTTATAATGGTTGGAGTTTGTGTTTAATCGAGCTTCAAAGTTTAGTATTGATAGTATTTGATTATGTATTATATGTGTATGTTTATATATTAAGTATAATATTACACTCGTGTTCATTATCACTTTAAAATTTTATTTATTTATTTTTTTTATAAATGTTAGATCATAATAATTTGTGGTCCAAATTCATTCAGACCATATCCACCCACATCGCATGCAATAGACTCTTCTTGCACATCATCGCCGATTGTGTCGCTCCACCATGTGCATGCCGCATAACTCTCTAGTTTAGAATGTATAAATAGCAGGCTTCTCAATTCTTTCAATGTACCTCTCATTCTATCGTCAATATTGAATTCTCTCTCCTTTCTCTATTAGTTTCTCACGTATGCATTAATATATATATCCCTTTACTTCTCATTTGAGGGTTTATATATATATATATTATATATTTTCCCACTTTATTTATTCATTTGTCTTTTATACATATTTTCCCTATTTATATTATTTAACTTCTATAATTCTCAATTCTCGATTCTTCGCTTCCGCATTATTCCGCTATATTCCTAACAAGTGGTATCAGAGCGGTTTATTTGAGAATTATTTTCAAAGATGTCAACTGTTACTAAGTTCGATATCGAGAAGTTCGACGGGAAAATTAGCTTTTCTATCTGGAAGGTTCAGATGGAAGCCGTTCTAACCCAGAACGGTTTGAAGAAAGCGCTAGCTGGGAAGAAGAAGAAACCGGCTACAATGACAAATGAAGATTGGGAAGATTTGGATGACAAGGCACGTTCAACCATTCTTTTGTGCCTGTCTAAAGAAGTTCTACGTGAGGTAGTAAGTGAGACGACTGCGTCAGATTTATGGTCCAAGCTGGATGCGCTTTACATGGCCAAAACTCTGGCGAATACGCTACGCCTGAAGGAGCGTCTGTACACAATCCGTATGACGGAAGGTACTTCTATTAAATCTCACTTAGATGAATTCAATTCTATTTTATTGGACTTGGAAAATATTGATGTCATAATTGAAGATGAGGATCGTGCTGTTTTATTGCTTGTCTCTCTCCCTAATTCATACAAGCATTTCAAAGAAATTATGCTGTATGATAATAGTAGTGATACCCTTACTTTCGACAATGTTAAGTCAAACCTATTGTCCAAAGAAAAGTTTGACTTTGAAATTAAGTCTGAGGACAAAGGTGAAGGCTTGACTGTAAGGGGTCGTTCACTTGAATCAGGGAGTAGCAATAAAAATTCTAGATCCAAGTCCAAAGGACATAAGTCCAACAAATCCTGTAAGTACTGCAAGAAGCATGGTCATGATGTAACTGAATGCTTCAAGTTGAAAAACAAGCAAGAGAGTGAAAAGAAGTCCGCTGAAGCTAGTGTTGTTGAAAGTGATTCAGAAGGCGATGTTTTGTTATCTGTTAGCTCCGGTTGCAAACGGAGCGAAACCGAGTGGATTATGGACTCTGGTTGTACATTCCACATGTGTCCTCACAAAGACTAGTTCGTCTCTCTGGAACCGGTTGATGGTGGAGTTGTCTTGATGGGTAATGATACCCAATGCAAGGTTAGTGGAATTGGAAGTGTGCAGATTAAAACTCATGATAACGTTATCAGGACTCTTACCAATGTTCGGTATATTCCTGATTTGAAACGCAATCTAATATCGTTGGGCACCTTGGAATCTCTGGGGTACAAGTACATAGCTGAAGGTGGAGTTGTGAAGGTCATAAAAAGGCTCTGTTGTTCTCATGAAAGCTTCTCATTCTGGAAGCGTGTACGTCTTGCATGGCAGTACTGTGACGGGTTCAGTAGCGGTATCCTCATCGATGTCTGATGCGGATCTCACTCAATTATGGCATATGCGTCTGGGGCATATGAGTGAGAAAGGCATGCATCTCCTGAGCAAAAAATGTCTCCTTGGTGATTCAAGTACGGGTAAATTACAATTTTGTGAGCATTGTGTTTTTGGGAAACAAAAGAGGGTTAGTTTCTCTACTGCTACACACCGTACCAAAGATGTATTGGAATACATACATTCTGACTTATGGGGACCGACTAAATTCCAGTCTATGGGAGGCTGTAGATATTTTATGTCTATTATTGATGACTTTTCTCGTAAAGTTTGGGTCTATTTCCTGAAACATAAAAATCAGGCATTTTCTATTTTCAAGAAGTGGAAAATACTTGTTGAGACTTAGACTGGTAAAAAAGTCAAGAAGCTCAGGACAGACAATGGCTTGGAGTTCTGTGAGTCAGATTTTAATGACTTCTGTGCGGCAAATGAAATTGCCAGGCACAAGACCTTGCCTGGTAAACCCCAGCAGAATGGTGTTGCCGAACGTTTGAACAGGACTCTATTGGAAAGAGCTCGTTGTATGCTCTCTAATGCTGGGTTATGGAAACGGCGTGATTTTTGGGCCGAGGCCGTTTCTACTGCTTGCTATTTGGTAAATAGATCTCCACATTCATCCCTTGATTTCAAAATTTCAGAAGAAGTTTGGTCAGGTAATCCTGTTGACTACTCTATCTTAAGAGTTTTTGGATGTCCTGCTTATGCTCATTCCAGTACGGGTAAATTAAACCCTCGAGCTGTCAAATGCATTTTCCTTGGTTATGCCTCTGAGTCAAAAGGGTATCGTCTATGGTCTCCTGATTCTCAGAAAATCATTCTGAGTCGAGATATCACTTTTGATGAAAATGCACTACTTTCTTCTGGAAAAGTTCCCAGTACAGGTGAGACGCAGAGTACTGGTGAAAAGGTGGAGTTTGAGTTCAGGCCTATTGATAGTGTTACTACTGCTGATGGTAATACTAAAGATGATGCATCTACTAGCACAACACCTCTCGTCGAGCCACAACGAGAGTATTCCATTGCTATGGATCGTCCTAGGAGGACAATTAAAAAACCTGTTAGGTATGCTAGTGATGGTGAAACTAACATGGTTGCTTATGCTCTTTCAGTCACACAGGAAGTTGATGGTGATCCATCATGCTATTCTAAGGTTCTTCCTGTTGCTAAGTTCAAGCAGTGCTTGAATTTAGTCGGCTGTTCCAGTTGTTAATTTTACAATGAATTTGATCTAAGGTGGAGATTGTTAGATCATAATAATTTGTGGTCCAAATTCATTCAGACCATATCCACCCACATCGCATGCAATAGACTCTTCTTGCACATCATCGCCGATTGCGTCGCTCCACCATGTGCATGCCGCATAACTCTCTAGTTTAGAATGTATAAATAGCAGGCTTCTCAATTCTTTCAATGTACCTCTCATTCTATCGTCAATATTGAATTCTCTCTCCTTTCTCTATTAGTTTCTCACGTATGCATTAATATATATATCCATTTACTTCTCATTTGAGGGTTTATATATATATATATTATATATTTTCCCACTTTATTTATTCATTTGTCTTTTATACATATTTTCCCTATTTATATTATTTAACTTCTATAATTTTCAATTCTCGATTCTTCGCTTCCGCATTATTCCGCTATATTCCTAACAATAAAGAAAGAAGATACTCACATATACAAGCTATTACATCAATTGACGCCATAATCGCTTCCACCGAAGCGAGAACCTACGACTTTTTACATAGGGGAGCAATTTGGTATATATTAAATGTACATTATTTGTGTACTGTATATACATTATACAATATAATGTACACTCAGTACAAAAATAATGTACATCCCCTAAATATAATATACATTACTTTTATACTGAATATACATTATTTTTATACTGAATATATATTATTTTACACTATACAAAATATGGTCCATACAACTTGTGTGGACCATGATCCACACAATAATGATTGGTACCAATGTACCATAAGGTCGTTGGTAACTTTAAAATTTTATGGAGAGTCATTTATGCAACTTCATATTTTACAAATTTAAACTTTTTGATAAATTATTGTTGGGCTGGAAAAAAGAAAATGTATGGGCTTAGGCCTAATTTTACTACACAAATACAACCCAAAAATGAGTGTTGAGTGCATTTCTCTAGGCCCAATTAACAATTGATCCAGTAGGCCCAACTTGTATATGGGATAGCATTCAATCAATAGTTATATTATGGATCCAGATCCACCTTGCAAGGTAGATATGAGTGGCAAATTATGCTGTGCAATTGTGTGCACCATGCATGGTGCACATGAAATTGAATTCATAATTTCTAAACCAAATTTGATAACTATACAGTTTAGAAATTATGAATCTATAGTTTAAAAATTATGAATCTACAGTATAGAAATTATGAATCTACAGTATAGGAATTATGAATCTATAGTATAGAAATTATGAATTCAATTCCATGTGCACCTTGCATGGTGCACACTGTTGCACAGCATAACGCTCCGACATGAGTTCAAAATACACAATTTACATACTGAATATTCACAATTTATCTATTACAAAATTGTGAACATTCAGTATATACATTGTGTACTTTGAACCCGAATCCACAGAATAATTTGCCACATTCAATGAACTGGTCAAAAAAATATCAACAATGCCCCCAGAGCATTTGGTTTAGTGAAAAAGCCTCACATAAACTTGCTTTCTATGATAGG